TGTACTATATTATGGGGCTTCCCAGCTAGGCATCAATTTAGCCTATGTTAATAATACGATACCGGGCGCGATGGGGTTCAAAAATTTAACATGTAGACGTCCGCATGGCTTCTACATTTCTTGTTGTTGGTCTCAATGGCAGTTGGGGGAGAATATAATATTTTAAGTGATATTATATACCGGTAGGCCTAGGCTATATGTAGAATAGCCAGTTAGTTGGAAATATCATTCAGACTTTTCCTGGACGTTGTGAAAAAAATCACCTAATTTTAATTTAATTTATTTGGCGAGGCGCCCCCACCCCACTTCACTTGTTCGCCCCATCAGCACCCCTACTTCAAGATTTCTAGATGCCCCACTTAACATAAGTCATAGATTTAATTAAAGCATTTATTTTAACTCATTCCTCCTACTAGGCCATATTAATAATTATTATATATATGCTAGGCCTAGTCTGGAGAATTTGTTTAATATTTACTGTATTTATTTACACTAGGCTAGATAATACTTTAAGCAATTTATTTTATCTCTGAAAATTCAGCACTCGGATTATTTTAACATACAACAAATTCAAGAAACGTAAATTACATGGCTAGACTATATTATAACGTTAAATAAAATATGCATAGGTTAGGCTTTATAACGCTATAAGACATCTATCCCAGGCCTAGCACTAGGCTCGCTAGGCGATACTTAGGCCTAGTTAGGAAGCTAGACTGAACGAACTCTACGGCCCCAGCTAAGAGGCTAACTAAACTAAGCATAGGCTAAACATCAATGAATTGACTGAGGATTACAAAAACAATGCCCACGTTCGACGTTAATAGCACAGTAGGGCCTACAGTTTCTAAGTTCTTTGAAACGAAACAACCGACAATACAACTTCCAGTACCGTGACATGGATGAATGCACTGCTAGTGTATCGCGAGTGCCGCGGTAGCCGAATGATCATGCATATTCAATAATTATTTCGTTAGCTCGTGAACGGTGAATATTAGGCCACGCCCATTTGCCGCGTTAGTGAAAGTAGCTGATAAAATAGCCGATAACGCGGCAATTGCGTTAAAATAGTTTTTGCACGACCCCTTACTCATCAAGACTTCAAATAGTTACAACAAAAATGAGGCCTTTTATCTACCATAATTAACTACATACTTAATATGTAAGGTAAAAAATAAACTGCTGTGTTGGCCAAACACTATATAGTGATCTATCAGAACTGGTCTTCAGCATTTCGTTTTCTTATAAACATATGGCCTACCCTAATCCTTGGGTTCATTCATTGCCTACCATCACCATTATAAAGCATTTCAGTTGGTAAAATCGTCACTCACACAAAAGTCCCATGGTAAACTTGAACGCAACTATTTTTTTTTTTTGTTCAGTTACATATTTAGCCTTGGAACGGCCACACATTACAAACTAACACCATGAAAGTAGACTGTGTTAGTTCATGAAAACAAAAATAGGCGTCAAAATAAGCATGTATTGGGTTGTACAGCAATTTTGTATTCTTTACCACATTTTAAAAACAGTTCATAACAACCACAGTTTTTTTAACATGTTTTTTGTTTTAACAAACTCACACAATCTACTTTCATTGCGTTAGTTCATGATGTGAGTGACGAAGAAATTTTAACAGAAAAATAGCCTCTATGAAGTATTTTCAGGTATAAAAAAAACGTACAATTGATTTTTTTTTTCGTTTGTGTCAATCATTTTTTTTAATGACTAAGGATGCTCAGTTAATTCAAAAAGCTAACTCAGAAACAATTCAATATTGCATAATTGATATGAAACCTAACTGCAGATTATTGAGAAATAAAGAGCTACAATTTTACAATTACACAGTAAAAAAAGGCCTTTATGAAATCTACGACAGGAAATGTATGCTATGCTATAATCCATCAATGGAATGACCAGAGGGAGTTATAGCTACCAGAGAAAGCTACAAACTACAAATAAATATTCCAAATTGTAAATGCGAATTCATATTCCTGAATACATAATATATTTCAGCTTCCTAAGAATTATTCATTTGCAGTGCAGTTGTGTGTAACAATCCACATTGACTTATAATGTATTAAACCCGGTAGAATCACTTGCAAGCCAAGTGCAATTTCGTGCGACTATCTTGAAAATTATACGGAGTGCAGTTTCTGTGACAAAGGCTTATTGGTACTATAAATTATCCTGCTATCGCTTTGACAATTGAACATCATAAACTAATATAAATTACCTGTAATTTAGGCTAAAGTATTCTAAATTATTCTCAAATATTAATTGCTAGTCTGTTGTTTTATAGTTGATTGAAACATTTTAAATGTGAGTAAAGAGAAAGTCTAAAACCTTTCTCTACTAAAACAATACATTTCCCTCTTAAATCAGACACTGTATTCTATTTAGCTGGACACACTCTCACTGCTATGACAAACACAGGTTGAAATATATGATTTTTTTTTGTTAATAAACAATTATGATTGATTCTGAAAGTGAGACACTGAAGTCATCAATCCTATTACATCACTATGAGTCAGATAATTGAGTATATTTTTTTTATTCTGATCGAACATTGATTAATTAGTTAACCATGAGAAAGAGGGAAAAAAATTAACTAGGCAAATAAAAAAAGAATAATCTGTGCAACACTATTTATTGGATGCATGCTACAAATTTAACAGACTTTTACCAGGATATTCCCAACGACATCACTATGGTCCCGGAGGACTTGGTAGCACAAGTGTGGAAAATATGGGGGGAGTTCCAGCATTTATGGGGTATACTGGCTGCGGGACCCCCGTTTGGTTGGTGCGCAAGTGAGCTCCCCGGGCTATGGTCCTCACAAGAGTGAATTCAATCCCTGCTAAGATGGTACAATCAATATATTGCAAACAATGAAGATACAAGCACCACAGTGAAAGATGTTGCTTCACTCCTTGAGATACAGTTTATACTAAATATATTGGCATGCTAACCTTCCAAGGATTCCCTTCAACTAACTTGAATTTTCCAAACATGTGTAGCATTTTATCTCTTTGAACAAATATAACAATTGTTAAATTATACTAGGTTGTGATGTTTTTAATAAAGAATAATATTAAGAGAAAAGACTCAGTAATTATGTACCGGTACCTGTACTCTATGGATTCAAACCAGTAATCTGATATTGAGAGTTGGGTACCAAAAATGTGGCAAAGACAGCCAAACCAGTCACTCCTCGCAAAAATTGATTTTTAGTTATTAATTACAGGATTAAGTAGCATTTAATGAAAGCTACAGCATGGAAAAAGAATCATTTAAATCTGACATTTTGTTAAGAAGCTACAGGAGTTTAAACATAGTTGCTTAATGAACAATATCTGAGAAATCAGCCTTCAAAGTTTACGATTTTTCACCCAATAGTTAAAAATTGTTGTTTTAACATTGAAAATGGAGAAAATAACAACATAGCATGATGTATACAGTAGATATAAAAAGGTTAGTTTAGTGCAATAAAATATATTTTGAGAATGTTGACATTCCAGCATATTTTGGCCATTATCTGTGATACACGATTTGCGATGAGTGACTAGTTTGACTCGCCTTTGCCAATATTTCATCACAGTTCTCTATTAAAGATGTATTGTCCGTTGCTAATTTCAAAAAATCATAAAAAATAATTTAAATAAACTTTCTCATATTGCAATAGCATACAAATTATTACCTTGTGCATAAAAATTATTGAATTTAAAAAATGTGTACCCTGATTTTTAAACCAAAAAATTAAAATAAAAATAATAAAACATTTCCAGTGACTGGAAGTGTTTCTATCATTTTTCGCTGTAAACGGATGGGTAGACATTTTTTAGATACACTATTTTCTATGTTCAAGTTGATAACCTTTTATGTTACTTCAAAATGGGCAAGTTAATTTCAAAAAATATTTTTATGATTTTTTTGGTATTTAGCAAGGGACAATATACATCTTTTAAACAATGAAAAATATCACAATCCAGAATACATACAAAACAAATGACTAACTGCACAAGATGATCAAGAATGAATGAATGGTTTTTTTTTTTATTATTTACATTAGTCACTGTCACTAACTTCAATGAAAACATCATCATGTACAGGTAACCCAGTATATTGAACCCTTTCCAATTCTCTCAACTGCAATTCCTTCATTGTTATGATTATTAAAATCATTAGAAATTTTTTTCTAAATCTATAAAAGTAAATTTCGCATTACATTTTGAGTGTTTAGTGATTTACTCATGTTATCCATATTTGACATATTGTTTGGTTAATTAGTCTAAAGTACAGTAGAAGAGTTCAAGTCACAGTTTGCTGTATGAGTCTACAGTACTGCAATGAAAGATAATTGAATTCAAATTTTCAACTTTTCTTTTGAGAATCAACTACAGTAGGTAATTTTTTTTTAAATATCTACAGTAGGTAGAACTTTACACATAAATTTTTAATAATTATACAAACTTTCAAAATGTTACATAATTAATATTTTATTACTAGTTTATATCTTAATCATTCATTAACTAAATTATTCATAAGTGCTTTTACTGCTAGATAGAAAATATAAAGAGATAAACATAACAGACTAAAAGAATATTGCCTAAAATATTAAATAATGATGGAAAACCTTGGGGGAATAACATGCAAGGCATGAAGTCAATTTGATATTACCAGTATTTGTGATATACTTGACTAGTCAATCTATAGTATATTATCAATTTGATTATCCATAAAATGCCAGTTCTCAGCCTTGATTTAATAATGCATTTTGAAATATGTTACAGAAAATATAACAGTTTTTACTCAATGTTTATATTAATATCTTTTTACTGCAAAATGCAAGAGTCAAGTTGCATCATTCCATTGTTTTATTAAGATGTCTGCTCTCTAAAAAAGGAATGAAAGTCAAATATTGTAAGGAGACGATATCAATGTTTATATTTGAAGTGTCTGTTCAGAGAAAATGCCAAATGCAATATATACATTACCCTATTAGGTTTCAGATTGAGTGCCGGGAGTTGCTTCGCTCTTGTCCGTGATGTTGACCAATCAAGAGGCATGACTTGTCCAAAATTGTCTGTTACTTTCTTCCATAATCTTATTAAAAAAAAAAAAAAATATCATAAATTATAATAAATTAATCAAAGTCATTAATAATTAGGTCCACAGTTCATACATTGTAATACTATACAGTAGGTGGATTAGAAGAGACAAATGAGCTAGCAGAATCATGATGATGGAGGATCCACGCTAGGGCTCGGCTGTGGCCGTCCTACAATAGTAGTGGTAGTAGGTATGTCTTCTCTTCTTGCACATGACAAACAGCACCATAATTACTACTAGGCATCCAATTTAAGCATTAAGGAGAAGTCTAGTACCTGATTCACACGTGAAGTTAAATTTAACAAAAAGTAACAAATTGTAACCGAGCGATCTCCCGAGTTATTCCTACCGAGATAAAAAGCATTTACACGCGTCTGTAAGGTAATGCCAAGGTTGTGTAAAATTTATTCAGTGTTTATTCAATGAACCATTTTCCCCCCTACTGCGATATAGGTCTAGCCTAGGCCTAGTTGAGAACCCCTGTCACAGATGGACTGTTGAACTCACCATCACAGTAAACATTCGAAGCAATCAATACCCTTAACAACTGCTGTATTACTACTACTAAACTAGGCATAGCTTCCAACGTTTCTGTCGACTCTTTTAATACTAGTAATAGTACTAACACCATCCCGACGTTCATTTTATGTATATCTTCTTATTCTACCATTACTAATTAACATCAATAACAAGGGTAATTCATACATCATTGAGAAAAACTAGGCCTATCAATTTCTAGTGGATCAGAATCGTATGCAGAAGGAAGAAAATTCAAAGAACCCCGTGAAACAGTAGATTGTTGTTGTGTTGAAATCCCTGCGCATGTGCAGATCCATCCATGTTACATCTCGGAAGCTTTACCAGCCTCAGCGAGGCTGGTAAAGATTACCGAGACGCTCCGAGATTTTACAAGGGTATTACACGGTGGTACTTTCACACGTGCCGTAAAATGTTACTTTTGGTTACATTTTGTTACATTTGGTAAGATTTTTGTACGTGTGAATCGGGTATAGAACAAACTGGTGGGAGATGACAATGTTTACGTGGTCCACTCATAATAATAATAATGTGGTTTTATAGAGCGCTTAATACAAAACAATGCTTCTAAGCACTTCGCCATGTCATCGAAACGACGCAACAGCACAGATAGGTGATTGCTAAAGACCACTATATACTGCCAAAAAATAAAAAATGAAATCATAGTAACCACAGCGGTTGAGTGGTTACATCATGTCAACGACCTTTATCTTTCAGTTCACTCAGCTGTTAGTTAACTAATGTACCTGGTTGAAATATACTGGGAGAATTCAAGGGTGGCATGGAAAAGAACTGGCTACCTTTACAACAAGATTCCAAAGCTTAGTATGATAGGTTCCTTAACAGCTCATTTACATACTGTAAATTCTATAATGAATACCAATCTACCATTACCTTTATTCCATGTGAAATGAATTATTTGCATCATTTTTAAATGCTCACAATCTTTATTATGTATATTGGTCAGAAACATCCTACAATAATAATCACACTCTACAGATTGATTGATTGATGAAAGCTTACAAAAAATATTACCGGTAGGTGTACAGTTAGCCTTTAATTACCGATATATATTATAATATTGATACATTACTTAAGCAAGAAAGCATAAAATTACTGACATCTAAATGTCATCACATTAACTTCCTAGTTGATGTCATGCAATACCTCAAATGCAAAGTATCCTGATAAGCAATTCCCACAACATGCAATCTATACCCATGTACAGTACAATACGTAAAGTACGTATAATACACACAGCTAGCGATAAGCTGAAACAGCTTTGCCTTGCTTATCCTGTATGCTATGACTAGGAATGGAAGAAAAAAAAAAAATTAATAATATAAATAATTACAGTGACATTAAAAATAATGTTGATTACAATGAACATTAATGAGGATGATGATAATAATAAGTAACAATACAAAAACATTTTTTTAAATATCTTAAATGATTTAATGTAAAAAATAATAAAAGAACAAAAAAAAAAAACAATAAAAAAAAAAAAAATAAGGTCATACACTTTATTCATCATTTTCAATACAGTACAATCCCTTATGACTCCTATCCATTCATAAAATATAAACATTGTTGGGATTATTTAAATCAACTTTTTCATTTAAAAAAATTCTGTATATACATTTTTGTCCCTCGCAATGAAAAATGAACAATACCTAAACACATTACGGACAATAATAATAATAAAAATGAATGAATATATGAATTTCCATTGCTTTATACAACTTTAAAAGTTACATAATTGACACTTTGGTAGACTATCAGTACAAAATTTCAAGATGATGCTTCATAACCTATGACCTATACACACAGTAAATAATTCATAATGAATGCAGACACATATTCAGCTTGGTAATAAAAATCAAGCAAGGTGCCATTATGTTAATACACTTTAATGATATGGCATCAGATCACTGAGCATATGTAATGATACGGACTAAAAATATACACCCGCTGTATTAAAATTCATTAAAATTTTATATGCATGCAGCAATGAATCCACCTTTTGTATGACACTAACATCTATGAAATTATGAACGTTATAACCATTAAATAATATGAATAATAATGATTGTTCAAATGGGCTGTGTTTAGTTGATTAGATGACATGGTGATGTCATGGATTCATTCTACTCTTCCTTTTGTCACACAGTGACACTACATGGTTTTAACAATATATAATAACAAACCTCGATTTAACAGCCTTAATGTTATTAAAGTCAGGCTCTGGAGGAAAAAATGGTTTTGATGTTATATTACAATTTATAAGAGCCCAATCACACTTATTATATCAGCCCAGGGCTGAATAAACTACTGCCGCCAAATAATGGCCAAATAATGACCGTTCCCTTTGCAGTTAGTGTTTCATGTCTGTTCAGGGTCGCACTTCCTCCTGGTTTTTGCACAAAATGTTATGGTATAAGATGTTAGAATTAACTGCTATCATAGCGACCTCTGCGACCCATGTTTGGTTCAGTTCAAATACCTATATGAAGATGAGTCAGTCCAGGTCCCAGCCGACTTTCAAGTCAGACTAAATTTAGGTCGGCTTTGGACCGGCTTAAAATTTTCACACTTAAAAAAGGTGACCATGAGGCAGTCCTGAGCCGACGTAACTATTAGTGTGATTGGGCACTAAGACACAAAAAGGGTGTTTGACGAAAAACTTAAGGACGGTTATGAGATACAGATTTTTGATTATTTAAAAACTGGGGGAAAAAGGGCGTAACAACACTTTTTCGACCTCGTCCACTAGTTTTTAAATATTCACAACTTGAATGCCATTATGTAAACCATCTGACTTTTATAGAAAAATCAGTTTACATAGGGGGTCTATAGTATCTTACCCCATAATGGTTGGTACAGAGCTATTTTAGGTAATGTAAATGTTACTATAACTGGCTAGAGATGATAGTTCTAATCCTTAAAGTATTCCTTCAATTTCTGAACCTATTGTTATACACAGTGGTCAAGTAGCGGTAGTTGTATGGAAAAATAATTAAGTTATCAATGTATATTTATAATTCATTTGACATGGAGTGCCCACCATGGTTCTGCAACTATCTGATAATTTATTATTTAGACCAGTAATTGAATGTAAATCAGTCTACAGTTCTGTCAGGAGTTTTTACTTACAAAAAATTATCCTGGCTTTTGTGTACAGTACACAATGCTCAGGATCATAGGTGAGATTAGGCATACGGTAATGAAAGTTTATAAAGACTTGCTGTACCAGCCATCAGTTAATGTATCTTTTGGCTATGACAACCAGAGCAAAAATCCATGGTTAAGATCATACTGTAAAGCTATATATAAAAGGTAGTTTTGAACCACTCAAGTATGTTTGAACTCGGTTCTTTCAAGGTAAAACAAATAAAGTATTGCCAGACAAAAAAGCTCACTTTTTTAGGACGGTATCACTTAGGAAACAATTTTTTAGCATATTCCTAATAGTATACTATAGTGTACATGCTTACTGGTGTGATAAAAAGTGTTAAAAACTGTGGTATATTCAAAGCCAGTTTTTTAACTAGGAAATACACCAAGTACATTAATTTAATTTATTTAGTAAGTTTGCTGGCCTTAATAAATGAAATTACAAATAAGTTAATCCTATTTCGGCAACACCTATAAATTTATCATTACAGTATCAAATAAATTATCAACGAATTAGCACATTAAAGGGGAATTTTTATGGATTGTGCCAACAAAACAAAGAAAGTAGTTAAATCGTTGCAACATTTCTCTTTCGCACTGGCTCAATAACTTGGCAAAACCATGGCATTGTCTATAGTATGACCCTTGACAGTCTATATTTTTATACCAGTAGTTGATTTGGAAGGACATCTGTACAATCAAATACAATAGGGTGGTTAAAGGGATGAAACTCCTATACTGTAGTGCACACTACAATTTACATTTGCAATGAATAGCAAGACCAAACACTCACTGACTGACTATGAATAAAAATCAGTTTGTTGCTAATTTTTATTTTTTTAAGAATTTCTGGCAGAAAATATATAATGTCTATGAAGATTTTTGTATGATCTGCTCCCTCGCAATTCATATTCCCATTCATCTTACTAGTGGGCCTCCCACTTTGAAAAAGGTTGCACCGGCTCTGAGTTATTACACTAACCAGGTACTGCAGTACTATGCCTACTGTACAGCCAAGTCTTAGTGATACAATGATCGTGTATGGTCAGATACAGTAGGTATGTCAGGCACCTACCATAGTGTATTATGTGTATTTAAAAAATGTATAAAAAAAACATACGTCCTCACCTGTGAGAAGAAAAATATTTCTCCTTTAAAAAAAAGCATGTTATAAACATGTTTCTATATTTAGCCTGATACATTCTAATTTTCTTCCTGCCTACAAAATTTAGGCATTGTTTAAAATGTCATTTCAAAAAATACAATTACTATAGAATAAATAT